CTGATGAACACTTCCAAGTCCCAGACACATCATCTATAGGAACATCAGGCACAACTGATGGAGGATGAAGGAGGATCCAGCCTGCTGAGGTTTCCTTATGACAAAAACATGGTGACTGTTTCTTTGAAACAAAAACATAAGAACAATAATGATTGATGGATAAATGGTAAAACCCGGCAAACACCCAGATTCATCAGAGTCCTGAACCTTGTAGAAATTAATACACATTAATTATGACCAATAAGATGTGATGATTCCATATAAATATGAAATATCAATCTGATTGATCTTTGAATGTTTAATCAGAAGATTCTAGGGTTCTTTCAGTGGCGTGTCCAGATCTTTTAAAATGGGGTGGCCCAGGTGAGGCACAACTTTGTGCATGGGTGGCACCAATGGTTGTGCTTTTTTTGTTTTACCCCCAAGCCTTTTGTGGACAGTGAAAAGCCTATTTAAAGGTAAATTGGTGTGGTGGCACCTGGGGTGGCCAATCAGATTCCAAGGGTGGCATGTGCTACCCCAGGCCACTCCCTGGACACGCCCCTGGGTTCTTTACTTATTCAGGGACCATAAACACACTTTGTATTAATTCAGACAGAGTCAGTATATAGTTTATAAAATGAATTTAATTATTTTTCCCAAACTAATGATACATGCCATGATATGAATAATGATATATGGTGTGGTGGATGTGAGGTGTTGTGATGGAAGCTGGATGTTGTAGCAACCATTCTTTGAATCTGAGAGAAAAGGGAAAAATCTGGGTGTAAAAGAATTTGTAGTTTGTTATAAACTAGAGAGTTAGTTGTTGATAAAAACCTCATCAGACACCAGTAAGCAGGCTTACGATACCTGGTATGAGTTGCTCCCGTCGGTCCGGAGGTTTGCAGTCAGATTGGTGAGGTCACCAGACGTCGAAACCACAATACTCAGAGATTAGTAGCTTCCTCTGAGTTGGCTTCCCCAGCCATGAGATGCAACCTGGGGTCTGCAGGTTAGGTGTGAAGTAGCTCTGAAAAGAGCGGTTGTGTCTGTAATCCCTTGCAGCGTCGCAGAAAGGTTTTGACTTACGGTCAAAGGAGTTTGTTTCAAGAGAGGCTTCTTTCCCGATTTGGCCGAATCGGAGTCAGCTGGAAACTGAGTTACTCGGGAAGTAATTCTTGTTTTATTAAACTACTTTGTTATGATTTCTGGCCAAGTTTGGCAAATCAGAATTTGACACGTTTCTGAGTTTTTACCAACATCCCTCAGAAAGCCACGCCTTCCTTCAGATACAAAAATGTTTTTAACCTTAATATGGATCTTATTGTAATGTGTATGCATGTAAACAATGATTACCTTGGTAAATCAAACACATACTGATTTGTGATATAAATGGATCATTGTAAGAACAATATTCATTTCAAATTCATTGATTTAAGCTCCGATTATTCACACATTTGATTTAAACATCTTGTTCATTCATCACATATGATTAGTTAACTTATAACTATAACATCATGGAGTCTTCACTTATTCAGAGTGAAGAATGTTGACGTCTGGCATTCACAGAGAGTGTAGGAACCTTGGGAGAGAATGTTTGTGTGAATGTTTTGTCTTCATGGAATGTAAACACGCGTTGAGCAGAACCTTCTGGTTTATGCTGTAGATGAAAGGTTATTATGTTGATCAATATACAGATGAAAACTGACCCTTTTGGACATTACAACCTTCAACATTTTTCTTCTTATTTTACACATTATTCTGTTTCATAACTGTTGAATAAATTAACCGGTGTTAGTTAAAACTAAACTGAAGCTGTGGATCATCCATCCGTGCAAGTTAGATAGAGCTGCAATCCCTGTTCCTGTGCAGGATCATGAACTGGTTCCTGTAGCGGTCAAGGGGCGAGAGGTGGGAACACACTGGACAGATGGATACACACACTCGCGCACACATGCACACACACACCCAGGATCAATTTAGAATCACTAATTAACTCAACATAATTGTTTTCACCTCCAAAATAAGAAAAGTAATGAAATAAATGAGGATTTAATTATTGTGACCTTTGGCTGCAGAGCTCTGTTGATATTTTTCATCTTTAAACACTGGTTTAATCCTGATAAGCTCCATGGCTTTGGTCCTTACTCAGTCTACTCTCAGCTGGCTATACTGGAGCCTTAGGCCGGGGACACACTGGCCGCGGAAGCGCCGCAAAGCGCCGCGAAAATGGGACCGCCTTCATTCGGCGCCCTTGTTAAGCTATTCTATAGACCACATGGGCCGCCGAAGCGCCGCGAATCGCCTCGCGCCGGCGCGCGCCGGCGCTCCAGCCCGCGCCGTGCAGCGATCATTTCGGCGTTGGCTCTATTTTTTTCGTGAGCCGCGGGTGAATCGCGTCAATTCTGGCAGGAAGTCAAACGTAGACATAAGAGGCAGGCCGGTAAAGTTAACAAAATAAAGCATTTCAAAATAAAATTCCGCAATAGTCAAATGTGTTCGTAAACAGACACTGCAGAAAAACCACACGAACACACACACACATACACACACATCGAACTTGTGTGCGTGTGTGACCACGTGAAGGGGGGAGTGGTTTTGGGTGTCTTTTCACTGGAGCAAACAGGACAGAGAGGCAGAAAGTCTGAGGCAAGCAGTTAGGATGGATGACTTTAAATTAATTATGGAAGTTGAGAAACACAAGGAGCTGTACGACCCCCGAAAAACATGATTGTTTACGTACCCATGTCGGAAGAAACTGCTAGGATACAGCTGCAGAATTGGAGCGGGTTCCAAGAGATTCAACTGGCAGAAACAACTCATACCATACAGGTGCTGGCCAGTAAATTAGAATATCATCAAAAGGTTGAAAATATTTCAGTAATTCCATTCAAAACGTGAAACTTGTACATTATATTCATGCAATGCACACAGACCAATGTATTTCCAATGTTCATTACATTTAAATTTGATATTCATAAGTGACAACTAATGAAAACTCCAAATTTGGTATCTCAAAAAATTAGAATATTCTGAAAAGGCTGAATATAGAAGACACCTGCTGCCACTCTAATCAGCTGATTTACTCAAAACACCTGCAAAGGCCTTTAAAAGGTCCCTCAGTCTTGTTTTGAAGGCACCACAATCATGGGGAAGACTTCTGACCTAACAGCTGTCCAAAAGACAATCATTGACACCTTGCACAAGGAGGGCAAGACACAAAAGGTGATTGCTAAAGAAGCTGGCTGTTCGCAGAGCTCTGTGTCCAAGCACATTAACAGACAGGCGAAGGGACGGAAAAAATGTGGTAGAAAAAAGTGTACAAGCTCTAGGGATAACCGCACCCTGCAGAGAATTGTGACGACAAACCCATTCAAAAATGTGGGGGAGATCCACAAAGAGTGGACTGCAGCTGGAGTCAGCGCTTCAAGAACCACCACGAGGAGACTCATGAAAGACATGGGATTCAGGTGTCGCATTCCGTGTGTCAAGCCACTCTTGAACAAGAAACAGCGCAAGAAGCGTCTCGCCTGGGCCAAGGACAAAAAGGACTGGACTGATGCTGAGTGGTCCAAAGTTATGTTTTCTGATGAAAGCAAGTTCTGCATTTCCTTTGGACATCAAGGACCCAGAGTCTGGAGGAAGAGCGGAGAAGCACAGAATCCACGTTGCATGAGGTCCAGTGTAAAGTTTCCACCGTCAGTGATGGTGTGGGGTGCCATGTCATCTGCCGGTGTTGGCCCACTCTGTTTCCTGAGGTCCAGGGTCAATGCAGCCGTCTACCAGGAAGTTTTAGAGCACTTCATGCTTCCTGCTGCTGACCAACTTTATGGGGATGCAGACTTCACCTTTCAACAGGACTTGGCACCTGCACACAGTGCCAAAACCACCAGCACCTGGTTCAAGGACCATGGTATCCCTGTCCTTGATTGGCCAGCAAACTCGCCTGACCTTAACCCCATAGAAAATCTATGGGGTATTGTGAAGCGGAGGATGCAATACGCTAGACCCAACAATGCAGAGGAGCTGAAGACGACTATCAGAGCAACCTGGGCTCTCATAACACCTGAGCAGTGCCACAGACTGATCGAGTCCATGCCACGCCGCATTACTGCAGTTATTGAGGCAAAAGGAGCCCCGACTAAGTATTGAGTGCTATACATGCACATTCTTTTCATGTTCATTCTTTTCAGTTGGCCAACATTAGAGAAACAAACATTTTTTCATTGGCCTTAAGAATATTCAAATTTTCTGAGATACCAGATTTGATGTTTTCATTGGTTGTCACCTATAAATATCAAAATTAAACGTAATAAACATCGGAAATACATTGGTCTGTGTGCATTGCATGAATATAATGTACAAGTTTCACGTTTTGAATGGAATTACTGAAATATTTTCAACCTTTTGATGATATTCTAATTTACTGGCCAGCACCTGTAGGTTCACACACACACGCGCGCGCGCGCGCACGCGCACAAACACTCAAACGTAGGAAAAGAGCTGAGAAAAGGCAGAGAGGAAATGGAGGACACCAAGTGTTTAAAAGAAAAACTACAGCTGAGCCGAGGCGCGCCTCGACTGGGGCGCGTCTGATCTGAACTGAGGAGCGGCGAGCAGCGGCCGAATTTCGTGAGCGATTCGCTTCTCGGCGCTTCGCGGCGCTTCCGCGGCCGGTGTGTCCCCGGCGTCAGGAGGAAGTTCTGAGGCTCCAGTTTTAATTCTTTAACCAGAAAACAGACCACCACTCCATCTAGTCTTCCTCCGTTTTTATTAGGAGCATTAGATGACCCCACAGCTTTAATATCCATAAGAAACAGAACCCGGTGCAGAATTTAGCAGCTCTCAAAACAAACCAGTGTGTTGGGATGTGGACATGATTTCACATTACTGTGGTGCACTGGGCAGGAATTCAGGAAAGTTTTCTTCAACAAAGTTTTCAGAACTATAAAATAAAATATGCTCTACATCTTGGTTCTTCAGCCATTTTGATGATGCTGACTGTGTTTTCAGTCCTGTTACAGAGGAGTGCTGTTGCACCTCTCTAAACCTTTTAATTTAAAAACTAGCACACCTGGTTTACTCTCATCCAGGCACCCCAGGACTGGGTTACAATAAGTCAATTGCTCATTCCTTTGAAGAAACACAGACTCATCCTGCAGATGGACAGATGTCTGCGTCGCAATGGGCTCTTTGTCTTCCTCCTCCTCCTTTTGACCCTCTTCACAAGAACTGCAGCAGACAGTTGCTTTGGTGATCAAATTGTCTAGCGGTTTGAGAGAATGCATCCACTTGGGTAGGAAGTCCCAGGTTTGAAGCTTGGCGGGCAGATGACGGGGGCTGTGAGCCTTCATCACGTTCACTATGATGATGAAGATCGTGATGCTCAAAAAGGGGCCGCCGACGCCCGCCATCACCTGCCAGCCGGCCAGAGAGAGGCCCAGCACCAGAGATGGAAGGAGCAGGAAACAGAGGAGGAGGTAGAGGATGGCAAACCAGCGGTATTTGGCAGTGCGCTCACCCAGGACACGAGCCATCCTTATTGGCAGGCGTGTGAATGGAAGAGGATACCACAGCAGAATGCCAAAGACGTTGAAGAGGAGGTGACACAAGGCTATCTACATGCAAAGGGAAGATAAACAGCAGCAGAATGTCAGTGCTGAAGTTCATAAATTATTCTGAAAACATTCTTTAGCAGGACACCAGTGAGAAATATTTCTTCAGTTAATCATCAGTCTACCTGGATGGAAGCTGCCAGCTTGTTCCCAGGGCTGGCCATGGCTGCCAGCAGGGCCGTGGCAGTCGTGCCAATGTTAGAGCCCAGAGTGAGAGGATAGGCCCGCTCCAGACTGATGACACCGATGCCTGTTAGAGAGGGAAAACATTTCACAGAAAATGGTTTAGTTAATTGCTCTCGTCTGAAACAAGGAATTGTTCTGAGCTCACGTTTATCTGAGCGTAGAGGCTGGTGACTCAGCGCTAAAGGATCCGTTCAATTTCAACAGACCATCGGTGGAAATATTCAGGCTCATGTCCGCATGAGGCTAGATAACAAGTGAGTCACGAGTCAACCTGGAGATCTGACATGTTTACATTCTGGAGGAAAGCATTTGAATGACTTTAAGAGCAACAAGCATATAAATCTGTTTTGTGTACTGTACCACAACAGATGCATTTGCAGTAAATGTCTGTTTAAAGGCTGCTGCATGAGAATGTACACCACGGTACGGAACTTTTATAACAAATGTCCAGATTATAAAATATTCAGTTTCATTTAATTCTTGTCAGTCTGGTTGACATTACAGGTTCGGTGCTGTTGCTTCAGCTCTCACTCAACTAATCCTGAAACATAAATTATCCATGCAGCTTGTTGCTCCTGAGTGTGATCAGGGGGAGACACTAACCCCTACTTCACGCTGGAGGCATCGGCGTGGCGGATTTACACGCAACTTTCGCTGTGTGCCAGTACATACCGGGAGAATCTGAGTCTTGGAGCAGCTTCTCTGCCGTGCTGCTCGCTTGACTCATGAGATTACAAAATCCCTCGAGATTCCAAAGGTTACAGTTTGTTCATGCCATCAACCCAGAAGAAGCAAATTGCCCTTAATATCGCTGTTTGACGTCATATATGATGTTGTTCCTCTCCTCTGCCAGGATTAAAGCCATAAAAACACATAGTTGCACTCTCGAATGACTGTGGGAGTAAATAAGCTGTGAGGTCACATGTTTTGATATAATCTACATAGATGTGAAATAGCATTGCTGTAATAGTCTTTTATTTTGAAAATTACCAGGGGTTTTACACTGAAACCGTGTGTGGTTTCCTACCTAACCCTATGTTAATTGGAAATTGGCACATCCCAGATGCAGCTCCTGGCAAAAACAGAACCCGATTCTGTCCTTAACCGCTTCTGGGATGAGCCTGAAAATGTCCTCGTCACGGCTGGTGCTTCCAGTGTGAAGTAGGGGTTACCCCTTCTTTCCGCTGGACGTGAAAGCGGTGTGTATCATAATAGCAATGTTTTATCGGCAATCTCATTCCCAGTCAGGAGCGATTCTGACGTGAAATAGGAGTGAAAGCGTTCAACGCAGCTGATACCATGAGGTCACACAATCACGGGAGAATTGCAACACCAAATGTGATTTAACAAGTCCACAAAAAAGCAAGGAAAAAGACAGCAGCATGTCTCCAAAAATGACCCGCACTTGTATAGCGCCTCTCAGAGTAAGGACTCCAAAGCGCTTTACACTACAGTGTATCATTCATCCATTCACACACACATTCACACACTGATGCTGATGAGCTACAATGTAGCCACAGCTGCCCTGGGGCGCACTGACAGGGGCAAGGCTGACAAGCACAGGCGCCACCGGTCCCGCCGACCACCACCAGCAGGCAAGGTGGGTTAAGTGTCTTGCCCAAGGACACAACAGCAGAATTCTCTGTCCGGAACCGGGATCGAACCTGCAACCTTCCGATTACTGGACAACCCGCTCAAAAAGGGCTGTGGTTCATTATCTGTTCTGTTTACATCTGTTGCAGATGTAATGATGTTACATAGTGTATTTTGGGGGGTTTAATTATGACTAATAAGATGTGATGATTCTATGTAAATATAGAATATCAACCTAATTGATCTTTGTTTAACCAGAAGAATTTAGGATTCTTTGCTTATTCGGTGACCATAAACACACTCTGTATTAATTCAGACAGTCAAGTATATAATTAAAAAGAAACTTTATTTTCTAGACTAATTTTAATACATGACAAGTTATGAAACTATGTCTTCTTCTTCCGGCTCTTGGAGAGTACAGATGCTTTTTTCTCCTCTCCCTCCTTCCTTATCCCAAGGATCTTTGTCTGTCTTTGGGTGCACGGCGCTTTCTGCATTTTTTCTGGAAACTGTAAATTGTTAAAAATGGATCTGGTCAGTTGGTCTGTCAACGCGATTGACTAAATTTTTTCAATGATGAGAACGGGAGAAGGGGCTCACGGATGCACCTCTGGGACAGAGCCAGTTGGGTATATCGACTCCTGGAAAAAGTGGAACCTGATATGCCTCTCTCAACTGTCTGTAGAGGATTCTGAAGATGTTTGGAAATTCATTGTTTTGTGTCAGGATTCCTGCTGTTTGGCCTGAGCGGTGACCTGGCTTGCCGGAAAATTAACAAGCTTTCGAGGAATATTGGCTCAATCCCAGAGCTCAGGGATGGAATGCATTGTGCTGTGAATGTACAAACTCACATAATTGTTGAGATGAGATGTAAGCTTGGAACTTTGGTTGATATTCAGGCTCTGGCACAAAAAGTGGATACCATCAAGGAGCGAGTGGACGGATCAGCACGGATTGGGATTGATTATTTACGCCATTGTCACGAGTTGGTGTAGGAGGATGTTTAGGACCCAAGATGCAGATACCAGATGAACGAGGCAGAGGTGGGGGATAAAGTAAGAATCCTTTATTAAGGTCGTTAATCCAACGGCAGGGAGCCAAAAATCAAAAATCCAAAAATCTAAACTTAGTCTTCAAAAACACTAGAGAACTAGAAACACTGGAAACACTGGAAACACTAGAGGCTAGGAACTGGAATGAGACGAGACCGACAAAAACAATGGGGTTTTATACACTGGGGAGGATGAGAGGGAGATGAACAGCAGGTGTGTGGAGAGAGAGAGCAGATGAACTCAATTACTAATCAGGGAGGAAACTAACATAACCCAAGAATAAAACCTAAAGACAAGAAGAGAAGGAAACATAACTAATAATCTAGGGGGGGGGGGGGGGGGTGGTGTCACAAACACCGGTGGGAAAAACACACTAAAGAGACTAATAACATGAACGGCTGTAACTAAAGGAGAATGACCTAAGGGAAAAACCTAAAGACCAGAAGGGCAGCAACCATAACTAATATTCTAAGGGGGAAGCTGAAACTACAGGAAAACACTACTGAAAGAAAAACTACAGGGACGTGACTAAAGGGGGCCAAGGGAGCACAGGACCTGGGAGGGGGATGCCTGAGGAGGGAAACCTAGAGGGCTGAAGATCTGGGGCAAATGGGGAACACCAGGAGACACATGAGGAAGACGCAGACAAGGACACATGAGGGTGCTAGGAGACACAAAAGGAGAACCTAGAGAGGGATGGAGAACACAAGGAGACACATGAGGGGAGACGCAGACGCAGACCATGACAGCCATTATTGGATCTAGAGGGGTTGTAGACCAACAAAACACTAAGGCAGAGAGGAAATTCTCTCTATCTGTCTCCAAAACAATTTTTATCTGAATCTGGTGCCCTTGGAGCCTGTGAGGCTGAAGGTGATAACTCCCCCTCAGAAGAAATGTGGAATGCTGTCGTCGCTATGGAAACTCTTTCTCCCTACCCCAGCCTGGGCGGGACTGTGACCGGTGAAGGCCGTGGAACCATAACTAGGAGTCACTGTGCCCTCTAACCCATTATCTCCCTCCCCTGTCCAAACAGAGGTGATGAGCGCTGCTCCATGCGGCTGCACGCACTGAAGTGAGTAGAGTCCCAACCCTACCTCCCCACCTAGTGGACACTTATGTTGTGTAATGTCTGAAGTCTGTGTGCATATCTTCTGAGGTGTTTTTTTTGCATAGCAAAAATACCCTCTCTGTGGAGGGTAACTCTAAAGTGCCTTTTTCCCCCCTCCCCCCTGACTCTATCCTCACATAAAACCTCTTGATCTATTACGGTAGCGCGACTCGGGTTGCAAATGACCACAGTCACCAATTCTTGTCATGTGTCTATGTATGTATGTCTGATCTCAGAATTGTGTGTACTGAAACTCTAATTTCCCTCTGGGTTTAATAAAGTATTTTTGAATTGAATTGACTTGAAATGAATTGAATTGACATGACTTTTATTTTGTAAGCTTCCGGATGCTTTACACTGATTTTGTGTTTGTCTTCCTGTCGGTTTTGGAAGCATGGCGCATTTAACCCTTTGATGCATGAATTATGAAATCTTCAACCATGATTTTTTTAACAATTTTTTTCATTTGTCTTTAGGTGTGAATTAAACAAATTTCAACAAATATTTTTTGCAAAATTTTATAATTTACAAATAATTTATTACATGTCCACCTCAGTGGACAGCGTGCATTCTGATCATGAAATATGTTGGCTTGGCTTACTGAAGTCCAAATGGAGGGGCTCAAATGCAATAAAGTCTTCAACAGCTGTGCTTAATAGCAAAAATAAAATAACAAATTTGAGTACCTGTCCACTGTAGTGACCGTTATGCACCAAAGGGTTAAAATAGACTTTCACATCTAATTGTAGGGTGCCTTCGCTTCTAGGATGCATCCACAACGTCACACTTGGCTGCCGATGGAAAGGAACCTGTCCACTGAAACGGCAGCTAATTTCAGCTAAGTACATTTCACGCTGCATTCATGTCCAGTGGAAAGAATGTGTTACTCCTTAAAACCACAAATATTGTGATACAATGGAAGCTAAAAATACAGACAAATGTGCTGAATATCTTCTCTTTAGTGTTGCTGACACTACTTCAATTTACAATAAAATAGAAACCCACCTACTGTAGATGAAGAAGAGCCCATTAGAATGAAGAAGGTGCTGTCTCCATCAAGAGTTTCCAAACATTTTCCTGCTACTTTTTCTCTTTTCAAATCAGTGGAAACAATCATCAAACCAATGTAATTGTGTCCCTTGTGTGAAAAAATTCATTTGTTCTGAAATAGTTTTACAGTTTTTTAACTTGTTCTTTTACACGTGCAGAACTTTAGTTGATTCTTGTTAGTGCACTAAATAAAAAAGTCAACCTGATTAATTTGACTTCACCTGATTTAGCATTTCTGATTAGATGATTGTTGTTTATGTTTTAGAAAAATTATAAAACGTAACGTAAAAATTTTGGAAAATTTGCATGAATTGTTTGTTGTTTGGGGTTTTTTGTTGTTGATTTGTGAACTAAAATATCTCAAAACTGTGACGTTTGTTCATAGATGACCATTATGACATGACCATGGGTTGTGAGTTGGACAAATAGATTTGAAAATGAACATAATATACATGTCATTTAATGAAAGAATATACTGTTTAAAGGGGGCTGCCCAGTGGTAGTCTGGCCAGCCATGCCGATGCTTCCTGATGGGAAGCAAAGGGCCTGGTAATAAATAACCCCACCCCCTGAGAATTCTAACCGAGCGGCGTACGTCACACACCGTGATGCTCAGTTTCTCGTAAACAGCAAAGATGGCATCTGAAGTGGAGCTATCTGCGGCTCTTTCCTCTGTTCTAAATGACTTGGACATGTTCCATCATGGCACTTGCTCAGGTGGCAGCCAGTTACAGCAGCTCTCGCTTCTTTACTCCCTTTTTTATTTGTTGCTTGTCTTGTGTCGCATGTTTTTTATGCTCTAATGTAGGCATATGTTCCCTCAACCGCACAATCCTAGGGGTACTTTTGTGTTGTTTGTGCTCATTTCTTTACTTTTTTTCAAACATATTGGGAACACACTGGGAAATTCCTTTGGCTCCAGCCATGCACCAATTATTTTCACCAGGGATCAGCTGTTGGTGCTGCTAACACTGTCTCTCTTCTCCACAGAAAAGCTGGTTATGACTCCAGATTTAAAGAGGAAACGAAGAGGCTGCACAGTGGGACGTAAGCTCCAGGAGAGGAAATGGAAATATAAACCATATTTAACCCCTCCTGATTATGGGAAATGTCTGTTCTCCGCCCAATAACATTGACAAGTTCACAGAGCTGACCAGGCTGCAGTGGGACTACAGACAGTGTAGCTTGATGTTTTTTTATGGAGACATGGATGAATGAGCTCATAGCAGACTCTGATGTTTCCCTGGAAGGATTTAAACTCACACGGGCCGACAGGAGCAGAGTGGTAAGTGTAAAGGTGGGGGTCTGGCTGTGTTTATTAATGAGGGATGGTGCAACCTGGCGCATGTCACCATAAAGCAGCAACTTTAACTTTGTTTACTTTAATTTTTAAATTGTATTTTCTGTGAGGTTGATTTTAATGTTCTTGCTATTCCTGCTAATGGAAAGCACATTGAATTGCCTCTGTGTAGGAAATGCGCTATAGTAATAATGCTGCCTTGCCTTGCCTGCCTTGTACAAAAGACATGGAGTTAGTGGCTGTTGGTTTCCGGCTTTATTACATCCTAAGAGAGTTTTCACATGAAATGGCGTTTAAAGTGTGCATCCCCCCTCGGCCGACACGGTCGTTGCATGCAAGTTCTGTGGAGAAGCTACAAATGGCTAGCCTAGTGAACTAGACCAAATTCTTGCTTTGCAAAGTTTATATATAAATAATACATTTATTTAGTCTAGCTTGCCAGGCTAGCAAATGGCCCATCCAGATGCAATCACTCAGATGTTAATCACGCCTGACTCTCCTCCACTCTCCACACCTTTACCCAAAACCCACACCAGAGACAATAAGACAATTGACCTGCTGTTTGCTCATGTAAAAATGCATACACTTGTAGCGTACCCAGAGGTCAAGTATTTACATAAAAAATGACCCGAAATTAACTTTTTCATTTGCAGACACAAACACCCCATCTGTCTGGCCTCCAAACAAGAAAGCACTGCACAAGGCCTTGCCACCAAACAAGGAAGCCATAATATCTTGGCTCAAGGTCTCATGCAGAAGACGAGACCTCCACTCTCTGACTAAACTTCATCTTCCTTGAATCATAAATTACTTTCCTTTAAAACTTCATATAATCATCATTTGTAGAATGAACAATGTGTTTAAATCCAAAGTGTATAAATATATGGTGTGTTTATTATTCAGTCATGTGTTCAAATGAATATTTTTCTTTACTCTCTCTAAATTGTCCTTAGGTGAGAGTGTCTGCGTGGATGGCTGTTTGTGTATTGTGTGTCTGAGGGAGTACCCTCCCTGCTTGCCCAGAGACCGCTGGAGATAAGCACCAGCCCCCCTGCCTCCCTGCCCGGTTAAGCGGGTACAGAAAAAGGATAAATCGATATATGGTTTAAAAGGTGTTGGGGGAAATCGTTTCACTCACCGACTAAAGGAGTAATGGCTGAAGTAAATACAGAACTACTTTGGACCACAAACGTCACTCCCGCACCCACAAACATTGCAATGTAACCGGCCAGCCACCCAAAAGGAGATGGCAGATCTGTAGGAGACAGGTATAATCACTTGTTGCATCCAAGTACAGCAGAAACAGTCTAGTGGTCACACACACACCTGTGTTGATGACCTTGTGGATGACCTTTGCCACGTGACCTTGAAGAAGAGAGTTGAGGAGCTTGACCAGAAGTAGCAGACATGTGCAGAGGACCATCAGGGACGCCGCCAACAGAATGAGGCCCACCGTGAGATCTGACAGCTCTGTGGACGCAAACAGATGTCTGCCTAAAGACAGACAAAGCCAATGGATACCAGGATGTTTTATCGCCAAACAGATAAAGGGAAATGCTACAACTACACACACTCACACTTGACAGGTGATGTCCACGAGAGGTTATAACTGAGACCACAGTTTTCACTGCTCCTGTTGCCAACAGGCTGAAGAAAGAAGGAGGAGATAAGAGCTATAGTAACATAATTTCTCTGTATGGTGGACGCAGCGGTAGAGATCAGCAATTACCAACACCACATCAGCCTGGCACCACTCTTTCACCAGACTCCTGTTCCTCAGAGCCTCGTTCCCCATGGCGATCTCAGTTATCACACACTTGTCCAGCTGAGGGTGAAAGGAGACCATCAGAAATCCACTTTTCACATCTCTTTGTTTATTACGAGCATTGTGTCATGCTTTCAAGCAGTAAGCTAATAAATACAGGACCTGGCTAGTATAAGGCAAAAGTAATAGTTCAGATCTTTGAAAGTAGCTTTGATTCTTTTTTAAAGGTTAGGACCATTTCTTTCTGAAGAACCTCAGTTAGCAGAAACAAGGATTAGTTCAGACCAGCTAATGACTACAACTGGGTCAGCGCCTAAGTACATTGTTACCCTTAAAACAAATTAAATTGCAAAAATGTCACGGTGGTTCATTTTAGCTACAGCTGTCCTGGGGCGCACTGACAGAGGTGAGGTGGCCGTACTCATGCACCATCAGACCCTCAGACCACCAGGTCAGGAGGGTCCTTGCCCAAAGATGCCTGCAACAAACTGAGCAGGGCATGTACCTGTAAACTTTCTGTCATGGGGAGAGCACTCAACTCCTCTGCCACGCTGCCTAGGAAGACACGTATTAAAGTGTAACAGTTTAATTAACGATGTGTCTATAAACTATTTAGCGTGGGTATTTGTAGCGGGAATTAGCTGGCTAGCTGTAGCTCATCCTGTTGAGGTTGCAACTTGTCTTGCTGGAGTTTCAGAATACTTCTGCAAGAACGATGGCGCGAAGTGAAGCTGATATACTTATAAATAAATGTGGTCATGCTGCCTCTAATACTATTGATTCTGTTTAAATTACAGCTAGATGTTGGAATTGGTGCAGTCTTAATTGTACCAACTTCTGTTTCAATAACCTCTACGGCTCAGCAGACACAAGCCTTACTGCACATTAAAACATATTTTTTTTAAATCTCTATTTTTGTTCCATACTTCACTCTTACAGGGCTTGGTAAGCTATGGTGGGCAACAGTCTAACACTTAACTACTAAATACTAACTGGTCAAAGCTCAAACTGTGTTTCTAGAAGGGTCGGCCGTGGCTGAACGCAGAGCAGTTGTCCACTGATGGGAAGGTGAGCGGTTCGATCCAGGCCCTGCAGACTACTTGCCTGACCAGTCATGCCAATGCTTCCTTATGGGAAGCAAAGGGCCTGGTAACGCTCCCATTCAACCCCCCCCCAGCAGTGAGCTGCGTATAACACACGCTGTGACGCTCAGTTTCTCATAAACAACAAAGATGGCGTCTGAAGCAAAGTTCCCTGCAGCTCTTTCCTCTGTTCGAAATGACTTGGACATGTCTTCAAAACCACAAGAAGAAAAAGCGCTAAAAGCCTAAAGAAAGATGTACGCGCCGTTGCCAGACTTCATCTTTGACTACAGCTAAAAAACTACAGTGTAGCACGGTACAGTCGTCATTTCTGCCTTTTTTCTGATTAGTTATTTTTGAGCTGGCTAGTCCCTCATGGTGCTCTGAGTATCCAGACTTGTCCTTTGTGCAGAATAAACGAGTCTGGCAGGCCAGTCCAGCAGGCTACATGGCCAAGCCTCTTCAGGGAAGATAGCAAACCTCGAAAGTCGCTCCTCTGGTGCTTTACAGATGTCAGCCCAGAGCTCCTCAGGGATGGGTCAAATGCAAATAATGTTTTCCCCAAGAGGATCAATAAAGTGTAAATTACAAAAGATTAAGATAAAACGTCATCCTGTAAAATTTTTTAATTGCACTTTCTCACTACAAAAACAGACGCCAGAGGCTCGGCTGTGGCTCAGAAGGAATTTGTTGGTAATTGTGATGTCGTTGATCCATTTTCCTCACCATATTTCTAAGGGTCTTTGGGTTGCCTGATCAGTATCACCAGTAATCAGTGCCACCTGTGTTGTGTTGGTCAGCAGGATTTTCACCTGTATGATGAGCTTGGTGAGAGGCTCAGTGATGACCTTCAGCAACTCCGGGGCTTCCTCTCCCGGCTGTAGGCTTAATATAGAGACCAGCAGGTTGGACAGCCGGGTCATTACCCCGCTCACCACCTCCAGAGGTAACAGGACCAGAACCGACAGCCAGTTGAAGCAGTCATGGATCGTTGCTCCGGCGAAGGCCCTGTGGTTGGTCACAATAATTAACTGTAGGTCGGTCACCATCAGCGTCTACTTGGAGTAATTGCTTGTTAATCCGATTTTCTGAGCTTGCGTGTTCTCGATGGAAGTGATATAACAGGAATCTGTTTTTACTCAGCATGTGCATTACATAAAAGATTAATAAATAATTATTCACCCACAAACAGATAAAGTATCAGACCATCTGTCTAGCTCATCATAGCTTCATGCCAGAGATGAAATTAACGTGGACTGATGCCATTATTGTCACTTTTTATAAATTACACTGAAATTAGGCCTAACAGGCATCTGCCTAAGCCTTTTGTCTTTCCAGCATCTTCTGCTTTCTTTAAATTTGTCTTTTTTTTCCTCCTCTGCCTCCATTTCCCATATCTCCTTCCTTACGCATTTGCTCACCCACCGTTGAAAGTCGTTCCTCTCGGCGGCCTGCATCATGGCCACTATGGTGTTGGTTACAGAAGTCCCAATATTGGTCCCCATGATGACTGGAATGGCCGACTTCACCTCCAACACTGCCAAGTGAGACCAAACAGAACAAGGTCATTTTCAACCCCGAGCTGCTTCTGTGACAAAAGTCTCGGCTCACTGAGAGTGGACATGTATCTCACATGTTATTACTATGCATGACCCGAAATGTATCTCACATGTTATTACTATGCATGACCCGAAATGTATCTCACATGTTATTACTATGCATGACCCGCCACATTCTGAATGCAGCATGGGTTTTCATGGAGATGAGAATGTGAGTGTAATTTCCAAGTGAGCGGAGACAGCTTCACCAGAGGGGTTAATGCCGGGTGCGTCTTTATTGATGATGACATAGAGGACACACATTATGAAGACAAACGTTCTTACCTTCCTTTTCGTTTGATAATTAGCAACAATCTGCCTCTTTGCTGGCTAATAAAAAGGTGTTTGAATGAGGGATTGCTCCTGCATGCTGAGCTCATTTATTTCAGACTGAGTGTGTATGAGCTGATCTCCTATGGAGGTGGACTGACTGAGCTGCAGAGAGAGAGAGATCACGCTGTGATTTGATTTGGTCTGACTCCAGTTCAGGCTGCTGTAATAATTTGTGATTTTGACAGGTTTTCACCTCTACTATCATCCTAGGATAGCTGTTTAAATTAAAATCTGTTAACCAGATTTGATACTGGGTCACATGCACACACTGTAGATTGTTTCTGGAAACAATAAAAATACACATTTACATCAAACACAAAAGTGCATCAATCTGCAGTTGAATGTAGATTTCAGCAAATGTTTCAACAATTATCTGGGTTGAAGATAGAAATTACAATTCCCAGCACAGAAAGCCAGGAGATCCCCTGAAATCTGTCATTATTGAGAGAGAAACCCTGCCCCCTCTGAATAATTGATATCAACTGCTTTAGTCCTAATTGATGGTCTATAAAGGCTTCTCATTACCCAGGAGGCACACAGGAAAGACTTCATTATGGATAAAAGCAAAGAACTCTCCCAAGCTCTTCATAATCTTATTGTTGAAAAGCATTCTGATGGGAAATATTATTTCCAGAATGCTGAATGTTTCTGTGAGGCCATTATCTGGAAAGGGAAAGCATCTGTCACAGGTGCGCAGGTGAGTGAGGCGGAGATGAGGGTCCAAATGCGGGGAAGAAGGCAGGCAGGAATGTTTAGAGGTCTTTAATGAGGGACACACGGGACAAAAAAACAGTGGACAGACAAGCGACACAGAACTGGGAGGGTTTAAATACACGAGGAGCTGGGATCTACAGTGATTGGGAGAGGAGAGGCAGGTGGGAGCAATCAGGAGTGACAGAGGACTGAACAGAATGGGGAGACAGGACAGGATGTGACAGCATCAGTTCACTTTAAAGCGGCCATGATCAGGTGCTCTACGTATATTTCCTGTCGGAGAAGTCCAAAGAATAATCAGGAGAGATCTCCAAGAGCCAAGAACCAGTTGAGCTTCAGACAACTTAAGATACAACATGCCGGTAAATCAGCGTAATACTGCCACCACGATGTGTCTTATGATGTTGCGAGAATTTTGTGGCATTCGTGCCGCCACGCTTGGTAGTAATGTTGCCACAACGCCACACTTGTGAATGCATATCACGCCTTGGCGAAACAGAGAGATGTGTCATGATCACATGGGGAGTTTACTGCCAAACTCTGGCTGGAAACTGTATTGAAAATGAAAGTAAAAATGGCCACAAGTTTTGTTTTTGTAAACAGAACCAGCTGAGATGATAAACTAGAGTGATGAGACTCCGAGAGATCCAAGAGCAGGAGCTAGTCTTGGGTCTTTCATATGGATCAAAACCATTTATAACGCTGATTTTGTCCACATACTGGTCCCCAACATCTTTATATAACGTATCCCTGTATGTTCCACATCTTTTTTGAGACTTTTAAATGTTGTTTAACACTTTATTTCACCCAAATCCGCTTCTTCTCCGCAACAGTACCATTTGTTTCACGGTGTGTTTACACTCGTCAACCTTCCAACATGGCCGCGCACATCCCAGAATGCCATGCATAATCACGTGTGATCACAAGCCCCATTGTGAAATAAAAACCAAGAAAAAGAACAAAGTTCTTGAAAACTAAAATGTAAGTAGATTTATCCTACTACATGTTTTTACCTTCATAAAGCAAAAATTTATCAGCATGTACTGTATTTTCCGGACTATAAGCCACTACTTTTTTCCCCTCGCTGTGAACCATGCGGCTTTACTGAAGATTTTCCTTCACCTGCAGGGGGCGCTTTAGCAGAAAGTGAAACAGGTGGAAGTCAAAAGTGGAAATCGAAGAAAGTGCTCATTTTTATTTAGCACATGCAAACAGCCGGCACGACGAAGAATTTTTTTCAAATCCATACCCCCTCATCATGGTAACTACACGTATGAGTTCACATGATGTCGCATTTAAGTTGAAGGCCATCGATCTGGCAGTAAAGAGGGAAACAGTGCTGCCGCACGTAAGCTTGGCATGAATGAATGAATCCATGGTTCAACGCTGGAGACGGCAGCAGGAAGAACTCATTCAAGCCAGCTTCACCCGGGATGATGACAGCAACACGGACAGCGACACCGACATCGCCACAGAAAAGGTATGTGACGAAGCTCTTCTGAGGCGGTTCAACTCCGACAGTGAAGAAGAGGACTTTCATGGTTTCAGTGTGCAGGAGGAGGATGAATAAACTAATCAATAACTTTTCTGTTTTGTTTGATACTGATCAGTTCAGTTATGTTCAGTTAAAGTACATTTGCAATTCAGCAGATATGCGGTAGATTTCTGTGGCTTCTAGCCCGGTGCGGCTTATATAAGTACAGTTCCATGTTTTTTTCAAATCTTAGTAGCAGTGCGGCTTATATTGAGGTGCGCTCCATAGTCCGGAAATTACGGTAATATTTATATATTTGATACCATTCAGATCACCTTCAAAACTTGGTCCCATGCCCAGGGACGTATCGAGGCATTTTGGGGGCCAGGGCAAAAGAGACCCCTGCCAGGTATTTAAAGTTAAGGTGCTATTTGTTTTGTTTTTTTATTAGAATATTTACATTTTCAATTAAGTAAAAAGTGACAAATGTATGTTATTTATTACTTGTTTGTTAAAGAAGTGTCTGTTTGTTAAAAGAGTTCTCAAATGTTAAAATAAAGTTAATTAAATAATAAATATGGATCAATCTGGATCTGTTTCTTTGCTTTCTTTATTCTATTTTTATGTGTCGAAAGAATCAGATCGAAACTCGGTATTGGCGGATTCTCAAAATCAAATTACTCGGACTCGAGGGCAAAAAACCGGATAATTTCCTACTCCGTTTATCTGCATCTATCGAGCATGGTTTGGGGAACGCAACACAATCCACTGTAAACTATACCTAAAATTGACCATTGCTGGACATTACAATGGGACAGTGTCATCGGCGAGGAGGGTGCGGGCATCAGACGGGAACATCATCCTCTGCTGCCCGCAGATAAATGGAGCAGGAAGTGATGTCACCAACATTGTTGGTGCTCTGAGGATGCCTACAGTGTTAGTCGAAAGTCATCAGCTAAAAAGGTAAAAACAAATTAATATTCTGTTTAGAAAAGAACCAAACAATAGAATTTAAAGGTAAGCTACTTGTTTTTTAAGAACATGTCATAAGTCACCATTAAATTTGACCTTTTATACAAAAATATCAGTACCTAATTATCTATTTTTACAGAAAAATGTGTCACTATTTGTAAACTCTTGGGTTATAGGAGATAATGTGGTCCAAATAGAACTTTATGCAAAGGATAGAAAGAAACTGAAATAAAAGTATAAATATGAATTTTTTTGGTCCTGTGTAGAGATTCCTCACTAACAGTGTTGGGAGTAACGCGGTACAAAAGTAATTAATTACTGTAATGCATTGCTTTTTGCTGTAATGTGGTAATGTAAGGCATTACAGGGAAAGAAAATGGTAATATTTACTCGGTACAATTGTCATTAACGCGGTAATTACAATGCATTTTTAAACCCAGAATCAAGATGTGTTCCTTAAAAATTCAAATTGCGGGAAACCCGAAGAAAGATCCAGTATCTGCATATATTACGTCATTTATGGACTCAGCTTTGCGGGCAGAGGACGCAGCGGTACGCGGTAACGGACCGCGGTCAAGTGAGCCGTCATTTGTGAGCCGCGGTCAAGCCAGCCGCATCTTATCTATGGCAAGCCAAAACCGTCACAATACGCCACTTTCCCAACCCGTCTAGTTAAGAAATGGCGAAAAAAACGCCGTTTGATGTGCCAAGACGTCGTAAAATACGGCGAAAACTCTGCCAGAACGCCGTAATTTACGCCGTTCTGAACGGTCCCGTAGAACGCCCGTAAAATACGCCGTTTTTTCCGGACATTGAACGCCGTTTTTTACGTCACCCTAATCCTAGACGCGTTCTCTGTGTGGGTGGCGTAAAATACGGCGTTTGGTACGGACATTGAACGCCGCTTTTTTCGCCGTCCTGTGACATAAAACGCCGCTTTTAACGCCACTTTGTGACAGTTTTAACGCGTTTAAAATTCAACTTTACTCTCATTTATGCAGAGCCCTCCCCATGGGTTTCGCATCCACTTAATTTAAACTCCAGTGACCCAATGAAAGACGAGGAGGTTGAGGCAGCACTAATTCATCCCAGATTCGCCGGGCTGTCGGGCTGTGCGGACTACTGTTTTCTAATACAACTCGGCTCTGTTTCAACTAATTTCACTGTATTGAAAAAGCCTTGAAATGTAGTAATATTATCAACAATGTGTCAACATTATTATTTTTTCTGTCCACCTGTAAAAGGCAGAAACGCTGTTTCAGTCAGACCTGATGATTACTTAAAAGTGTGGCTGCCGTATCAGTCTGTCCTCGTGGCTCGTGAGTCCAGCTGAAACATCAGTGCTCTTTCTGTCCAAAACTCCATTCTTCTTAAGTTCATCCACTTTCAGTATTTACTATTGTGACAGTGTGTGTGTGTGTGTGTGTGTGTGTGTGTGTGTGTGTG